GAACTGAAGGCCTTTCTGGGCCTTTGCATAATGACCGGAATTGCGAAGCACCCCACCCTTCATAGCTTCTGGTCCACCGACCCACTACTGAAGATGAGCCTATTCCCGTCCGTCATGCCCTGAGATCGCTTCCTTGCCATCCTGCAGTCCCTGCACTTCAACGATAACACCGCCATGCCAGATGACTGCATCGACCGCCTCTTCAAAGTGCACCCAGTCGTCGACCATCTTGCTAAGAAGTTTGTCACTGTCTACGTTCCTCAACGGGACATTTCCGTCGACGACTCCCTGCTGAAGTTTTACGGGCGTCTCCGCTTCGCTACCTACAATCCCAGAAAGAGGGCCCGCTTTGGCATCAAGATGTACAAGTTGTGCCAGAGCACCAGGAGTGCCGCCGGGTACTGCTACTACACAAGTGGTGATGGACCTGGTGAACGACCTAAGTGGTAAGGGCTACAACCTTGCCCTCGACCGGCCTTCAGTAGTCCCGATTTGTTTCGATGACTTCACAACCAGAAATTCAACGTCGTTGGCACCGTCATGGGGAACAGAAAAGACCTGCTGAAGCGGGGCGAAACAGCGTCTTGGTCGGCCGACCTGGGTGTCAGTGGTTCTCTCCTGGCCATGGTGTGGCGAGACAAGCGCAACATCCGTATGCTCTCCACCATGCATACGGCAGACATCCGTGGCACCGGCAAGCAAGACAGGACAGGGCAGGAAAAGCAGAAACGGACCTGTGTCATCGAGTACAATGCCCTGATGGGGGGCGTTGACAAAAACGACCAACTAGCGGCAAATCATCGAGCAACTCGTAAGTCCCTCAAGTGGTACAAGAAGCTCTTCAGTTGACAAAGCCCAGTGCACGTGCACAGCTTCCCATTCACTCAACGCATATTACACACTGAGGTCTTGACCGTCAATCGCTCCGCATATCAACACGGCAGCATAGCAACGCACTGGGCCAAGGCCCGGAACAAACGAGCCCTTATGTAACGCACACAATGGGGGCTCTACACAGAGCTGGCGGCGTGGACGCAAAACCGAAGGGTCAATGGAGGTTGCTTGTGAGGGCTAGACTCGCCACGGAACACCCATTTTATGGGGTTTAGGCATTCAGAAAAAAAAGATATGAATTTTTGAAGATTTTTGAAAAACGAAAATAGGAAAAAACCGCCCGGCAGCGCATGTAACGGTTAAAAAAAGCACCCGGCAACAAGTGGTTAAAACCTTGCAGATCTCTTGAAAAAGAAGAGTTTTAGACAAACATTGACCTGATGTGGTAAGGACTTCATCGTGTGACTGGTCATGTAACATTAAAAGTACATTCTTTACAAGCCTATATCTTGTGAACTACACGTCTGATCGGGTGGAAATTTGGTAGATAGATTTGGCAAGTGTTATAGACAAGGTGACATTATGTAAAGGGTGCAAACTTTAATTCTTTATATCTCCTTATGTCCAAAAGGGTGAAATTCAAATGCAGTAGTATCTCAAATGAAGGAACCTCTTGTTATTTTATACATTTGTTCCTTGCAAAACCAAATATTGAGCCATTGAAAATGAGATTTTGCCAAGATATTGCAAAAAATCCTAATTGGTCTAAGTAATTTGAGTTGAGGTTGTTGCAGTACTGAAACAATTTATCATTATCTTGGAAGTTGACACACTTCATAACACTTCAAGTTTATTAATGAATATTTTGCATTAAATGTAACTTTGCCAGAAAAACCAAAAACAGGGGAATATGGTTGTAATTTTCATTTTAAGAGGAAGAGGGAGTCGGTTGACTGGTGGTGACAGAAGGGTTGGACCGCGGCAGCGGGACGCAGAAACTTACTAAGTCAGCCACAGGCCACAGAAGCCGACTACAACGCAAGAAAAAGAAGCAACATGGTGGCAGGACATTGAAGCGCTCATCACCTCATTTATATTGTAATAAAAAATGTTAATGTAAAAAAAATCCTTATTTTGTGTTCTTTTATAAATACATGTAAATATTGTACAGGCAAAACAAATTTCCAGCAACAGGTGTGTATATATTCGTGTCTAAGCTACCAAAGGTCTGTCCCTAAGGGTAGGACAACTCTAGGGGTGTGACACCGAGGAAGTGACCGCAGCTGCGGCAGTCGGATTCCACTAGCTGGGCCCGGTGTAAAATTTAAATAACAATAGGGGCTTTGTTCGTCAGTTCCTTTGATATGGTAAGTTGGTACAGGCAGTGGACAGCCTGCTAGTTGCTAGGGACCTGTGAAAACCGCGGTGTCTGCGTTCAAACCGCGGTACAACCTTTTGGACAAGCTCCCAAAGGGGCAGGGTGGTAGATGGCTAGGTTAGACTATATTCAAGAAGTCTAGCAGTCAGTTGGTACATCTTACCACAGGTTAGTTTGGTATCTTCTTGCCAACTCATTATTGCAATTCTTAGCCTCATTGTACAGACAATCCTTTGGCAAGGCAGAGTGAGCATAATTGGATTGATCATGCCTGTATTTCTAGTAACATGTACCTTCCTATATGCTTTTCACTTTAAAAAATTTGTTATGAGCATACAGTGCTTATTAATATACGTTGGGTACGGGCAAACCGTTATATATAATTAACATCTTCCCAACGCAAAAAAAAAATACATCTTGAAAAAAGAGCACTTGACAAGGATGGCTGTACGCAGCTAGAACGGTGTATTTTAATCTGCAAGCACAAATATTCTGTTCGCTCTGTGTTCAGAATGCCTCACGCAAATTTAGGTCAGGCCATTTAAATATCAATGTCAACTGGAAAGTCCACAATCAGAACGAATGATTCATAGACCTGTGTGTACCAGAGAGCCCAGCCAAACCGTGATCGAAACTGCATGTTCATTACTGGTAAGCTTTTATGTTATAATTTGAGTTTGGAACGTCAATTATTGGGAGGTTCAGTGACGATAGCCAGTCAAATATGCATAAGATTTTAAGCCAATTTAATTCTGATACATGGTAGCTGAGGCAAAACATTCCTAGGCACACATGTTGATTTGGTAAAACAATTCTCAATTTTCCCATTTTAAATGCCATGAACAGTAAGCGTATCAGTGATTTATATTCGCGTTGATGTACAGCTGGCTGAAAAATACCTCAAATGATTTAATATTTTTCACAAATGGCGACGTGTCTCATCACACTGCAGTTGTCAAGACTCAACCGAAGAAAGGAATTCCCGCTTAGCGTACATATAGGTTGATCGTGAGGTTGGACAAAATGTTTTCTGATGTCGTCAATACTTTCCCTTGCAGAATTCCAAAACCACTATGCCCCAAAGTAGAATTGTGAAATGAGAATTACCACTTAGAGTAAATAAGATTTTTGATTCAGTAACCAAGTTGCTGTGCACGTCAATTTCTTCTTTGTTATAAAGACAATCACTTGCTTTTGGGCATGTGATTAGTAAGGGGTATTACAGCACACCTGTGTACAAAAATTGTTTATTTCTATGGGATGAATTGTTGTATGTGGCCTTTGACAGAAGTGGCAATTTTCTTTTCCTGTCTAGTTTATTAGCGCTACGGTAACAACAACATGATGAGAGGATTAATTTGAAGTACCTGAAGTATTAATTTGAAGCGTGACACATTCCCGGTGGATTTTCAAGACTTTCCATTTTCAAAATTCTTCAAAAATTCATTACTTCATTCACTTGGCGTTTACACCATCATGAATCACTGTTTGGTGGCTACTCTAATTTGACAGACAACATCTACTGATGCCGAAGTATTTCTGCAAGGCCTGCAGCCTTGTAAAGGGAGCCCAGAGTGTGCAGTGTTACGTAATTTTCTTTTGTTCCCAAAACTGGACCAGTGTGCTGCTGGCATTTTTTCAAATGCAACCAGATTAACGTGCAGCAGTACTGGAGTGCTTTTGTCCTTGGTGGTAATCCACTAGTGCTGAATGCCAGAAATGGTATAATCTTTCAAAACAACTACGGATTTCCTCCGCTATTAATGACTAAAAAATGTTGGCAATTCTCAGTAGCTCGGTCTTTCGTTCCGAGTACAGTCTTTTGTTACAAGGCCACACTCCTTTGTCCAATATCAGGCACCCCTTCTATGCACATAAAGCCAACGTCTCCAGTTCCGGGCACCTGGCACAAAGTGGCTAAGATGATTGAAGCTGTTTTGGTTTAGGTTTTTACTCTTAAATTCAGCTTTTCTAGTCCATGAGCCACCTCAAATATTGGTACTGGATCCAGGGACTAATTCTAACATAGTTTTTATTATGACAACAAATCTTTAGGTTAGGAACAATATGATAGACCTTTCGAGGTGGTACATGTAGCTTAACCACTTGCTGCCGGGGTTTCTGGTACCAGACATGTATGCTTTATATGCTTGGCCGGGTCTCCTAAATCGGACAAAGGGAACTGGGCCTTGTAACAAAAGACCGTATTCAGAACAAACGACCAGGCTGCTAGGCTTTACAAGCATTTTTTCACTCTCAATAGTGGAGATAATCCAGCCTTGTTTTGAAACAGTATACCATGGTATGGGACATTCAGTGCGAGTGGATTACCACCGGGGACAAAAGCGTTCCACCACCGCAGCGATGATGCACACAGCACCGCTGCATGCTAATCTGGCCCCTACTGAAAAGGGGTCAGCAGCACACTGTGCCAGGTTCGTGAACTAAAGAAAGTTAACACCACACAATTTGGGCTCTTTATTCAAGGCTGCAGGCCTGGCTGAAATACTGGAGCGTCAATAGATTTTGTCTGTCAGATTAGAGTAGTTACCATGCAGACAATCATTATTGTGGGTGTAAACATCCATTAATTGAAATGAATTTTTGAAGAATTTTAAAAACTGAAAATCTTGTAAATGTCCTGATTATTTTTCAAACTACCCAACAGCAAGTGGTTAAAGTCCCAAAAGTAGAAATCCGCCCCAAAAGCAGGAGAATCTCATCCTAAGTTGTTACAGGCTAGATGCCCTTCTTGGGTCAACTTAACTTGAAGAGAAATACCACATACCTGCAGTGAACTGAGATTGGTCCATCCTGACCAAACTGCTCCTTGGTTTTGTGGACCTGGCCAATGAAATCAATGAAGCCTTCTCCTGACTTGGGTACACCTTGATCTGGCCAGTCAGTGAACTGGAACTGCCGAATGGTTCGTGACTGTCCATCCTGGAATTGTAACAAAAACCAATGCTCAGCATGTTTTAATTATGGTTATTATCATTATAATTACTGTTTTTCTATACTTTCTTGCAACCCGGAGGGTGAATTGTGGTTAAATACAATAACAAATACTTTAATATTAAAATTGCAATATTCATTAGGAAATAACCTCTGATCCAGTTGCCTTTAAGTGCTTGGTAAAGTGAAAAAATGCTTACGGTTAAGCAATACATAGCAGTTTAACAAAAAAGCAAAGTAATGTGATACCAGCATGCTAAGAACGGCAGATTTTTGCAGAATAACGAATTTTATGTATAAAAGTATTAGTAAAACTCCTTTTAGGTTTTTCAGTTGTTTCTTATAATGGAATGGTTCTCGATTATAAACTGTGTTGTGCTCTGATCTCTCATTTTCTAATAATCACAAAAATTAAGCCGGAATTAAAAATTCTGGTAGCACTTCATTTCAGAACCTTTCATGGCATAACACTATGAAATTTGGATCAGTTAAAATAGGGTTAAATGTTGTTTCTCGGTTAAAATGTATTCCACCGTGATTTTAACCCCGTTTTAACTGCATAGATCAAGCCAAAATGTTTTTCATCCCATTTTAACTGTGTTTTAACCGAACCCACCACCCTTCGTTATTCAAGCCTTAATCGTCTCCTGGTCCATCAACAGTCCCAACGAACAGTCACCCATTTCAACCATGTTTTAATGGTGGAGAGATGGTGTGCTACAGACCGCAGAATCCTGTTGGGTAGATCCACTTTTTCCCTAATTAAGAAGCGGTTTGGGGGAAATGTCAATCATCTTCCTTACCTTCCACAAGTTGGAAATGGCTTCAATGTATTGGCATGTGGAGATACTTCCGCGCCCGTTTACATGATAATTCACCGAGTTTTGTACAAATAAATCAATGAATTTTTAAATAAAAACGATACCTGTGTCTTGAGTAGTTTAGGTATAATAAAAAACTGAAGTCTTATTGGTATAGCTAGCGTTCATTAGTCCTTAATGATGTTACCAGCCCCCTATTTTCTTTACCAGCCTCTCATTTCCCGAGTAAATGTATTTTATGCTAAAAGGTGCTATGAATTATGTATTTTGCCTTATTTGAACAATGTACATCAAATTCTCTCAAAATCATATCAGAATTGAGGCCCCTCCCCAATTTTTTTAGGTATACTTGTGACTTTTGGAAGATAGAGCACGCTCTTCGTCTTGTCTCATTGACATGTCATTAAAAGTCAATGAGCAAAGTTTCTGTGAAACAATAAAGGTCCAAAGAAAATCTTCTTTTTTCATCTCACAGGTATGTACTTTCCATTTTCTGTTATCAAATATGGGATCTTCATATATTCAAGTTCATTTAGAGCTCATCATTCATGTTTTGGATTGTCTGATATTAAAGGATTGAAACGGGAGTGAAAGTTGTTTCTCAGACCATGTGACAAGCACATTGTATGTATTGCACATAGACATTGGGGATAAATAAGCACATTCCTCGAGTGACATAAGATATTTCTTAGATTCTACAGAGATGTTAGTAATTTCTATTCATTTAAGACCAGTGTCTTTAAGACCAGACGAGTAGATAAAGCACATGCAGGCCTACAAGAGGTGTGAATTGATGAACGATTATTTAGATGGATCTTAAGGGTTGGACAACATGATGTACATGTAAATGTGTAGTATTTTGAGTTTCCTTTTGAGTCAAAACTATCTGGAAATTCCAGATGAATGAACTGAATACGCACATGTACTTAGTGAGAAATGCAGAATTTGGTAAATAAGTTCAGTTGCCACATAAGAATGTGACTCATGAGAACCCATAATGAATGAAGGTGCTTGTGGCAGTTGTGCATTTTTAGTTTTCTTGAATTACAAGGACTGCTTGTTTTAAATGGATGTACATGTGTTCATGTACGTGTTAAAGATCATGTGTGTGCCAGACACATGAGAGGGAAGTTTAAGAGTTATACGTATACATGTACATGGAAATTGGGTAATCGTTGTTTCCGAGTATTTGACCAGTTATTGACGGACAAGTGTGAAGTCAAAGACTCAAGTGTAGTGAGGAAATTCTTTATTCCAGTTCATGGTCATGACCAAGTAAATAATTGTGTTAATTTTAAGAATAGGCATTGGATACATGTACTTGGATACATGTACTTATAGGTTATTCAAGAACTAAAGTACAGTACAAGTGATGCTGTGTTGGGTCATGAAGAACACTTGCTGCACACAAATAAATTGTATCTTTTCATGATTTTCCAGTCATTGTTAATAATCTTGATTGACATATCATTAAAAGTCAATGAAGGTCCAAAGAAAATCTTCCTTTTTCATCTCACAGCTCCGAACCTGGTAACAATGACAATTAAATCTTCGAGAGAATCTGGAATAATTCATCCCAGTTTTGAGGACAAACTTCCTCGTTCTACAATTTCTCCAGCGGACAGCATCACGGCTAACGGGCCACCCATGTGGTACGGCTGCAGCTCCCTACCCACCCATGTGCTGAATCACTGGGCAGATCATGTCATGCGTGTACAGTGTAGGGTGTAAGTGAATTTCAAAAAAGTTTGAATTTTTAAGTTCTGAATAGGCTAGAATGATGCTCTGGCGACATTTAAGACCTACCCTAGTGAAAAAAAAATTCAAAAAACCTTTGCCCAACCAAAATATTGATTGAAATTTCTCTTACAAAGAGCTTATTTTTAACAGGTTTCTCAGCTCTGTTTTTTTTTCTGTGCAGTTTTCTCTGGTTTTTCTTTGTTTAATTAAGTAACTAAAATTGGTGCTCTAAAACCTTCCACTTTCTGTGTGCATGGCTCAAACTGTTCCTTCAATGATTTTTTTCCCAATTGTCCAATAAATCACTGCTGGCTTGTAGTATGACCATCAGAGAGGGGAAAGAGTTTTGGCAATGGTAGTTCATTGCCGTGTAACATGTATATGTATCTGCCTTTGCAGCAGTCTACTGAGCAACATTTCACAGTGAGAGAGTACCTGCATGCCATCCAACATTGACGTTAAGGCCATCTCCTCCAATAACCATTATTTTGATTTGTATAAAGTTATTTGAAAATAGAAACGTAGATTGCCTTGGTAAAACATGTATACTACAAGTCCTGTCTTCGTGGTGATGTGCTGTAAGTGATGTCCTCCAGGCTCTGCAACAATCACAGTGGTCTTCTATGACAGACCTTGATCGAGCACACTTTTTTGTTACATAAGCCTTATTTTGAGAGAGTTGCATCTCTTTTTTCTGTCAAAGTAAAATTACTGATTTTGTCCTTCCAATCCGACTTTCACCATCAAAGATGTTATCTTTCCCTTGTCAGTCTGTGGTGATCAATTACTGCCATCTTGTCATCTTTGGATACGGCATTGAAATCAGTGAGGGTTGCAGTACATTTGCAGCAGCTGCTCAGGCTCTGTTACTGAGTTCATACCCATCACAAACTTGGGCTAGTTTTGTGTGTATTTGCTGTATATTCACACAATGCTGGGGCTCAAATTCAATATTACCGGCAAACTTACAGCTCTTTGTCTCAATCATCCCACCCCTTGGTGAGAATGAAAAGCCTGTTTAATATGAATTACATGTAGATGGCACCAGCTAAATGTAATTCCTTTTGGGGGTGTTTCCTGAGTTATTATTTCCACTCTTCATTCCTCTTCATTTCTTTCCATGTTCTTCGTCAGTTGTTGGAAATGAATATGCTCTTGTACAGCCTTGAAAGGTTATTATGCCTAGGCTACTGACCACAAAACATCTCTGGTATAAAGTCAACCTCAATCAGGACTCTTTGGGTTTGTTTATTCAAAGGAGGGATAGTACATGTACATGTCCACACACACTAGTATATCCCATTAAAGGGAACACATGGATTCTAAATGTACAAAACTACCTGAAATGCTACATCTGTATCTGACCCAGCTCTTCGAAAATCAGGCCTGGAGACCAAAATTGAAGCAGATTTTATACCTCAGTAAGTAAATGACAGATACATGTAAGATTGCTTATATACCAAATAATGAGGAAAGCGTACAATGTGACAAAAATGCAATGAAGTGCAATTCACCATGACTCACCACTTAACAGAAATTTCAAACCATTTTTAGGTTGGGCAAAGTTTATGAATTTTTTTTTTCAATATGGTAGGTCTTAAATATTGCCAGGGCATCATTCTAGCCTATTCAGAACTTAAAATTCAAACTTTTTTGAAATTCACTACACCCTAGTGTACACTGTTGACTGCTGGGTGACGTGACATCAAAGGCAAGCTTTTCTGCATGTACATGGGCTGGGTCGGTAAAAAGGTGTATAACCCGTGGTTCACATTTCAAAATAGCAGGAACCAAATTTCATATTAATTTAATTCCCTTTTGAAAAAAATTCTTGACTTCACATAATTCAGGATTTATGATACAAAAGAGATTTTGCTTTATTGGAAGGAAACAGCCAAGCCAATCAATACAAGAAATACACAGCAAATGCAGAGAACACCAATTCAGATGGCCAAAAATTAAAAAATGACCTTTACAGAAAATGCAGGATCCTGCTAATTTAAAATACACTTTGAGCTCAAGAAAAAAATTTGGCGGCAATGTTCTAGATATACAGATGAGTTGCAACGAATCGTTCCAAGATGGGATGACAGGAGTCCGTTGTGTTGTGTAGGCAGTCGGCAAAAGTGAAGGGCGAGTTTCAACAGAAGAAATGTAACGCAAAAGAATACTTGCAGATCTTGCAAGGTTGATGCTGGCGATTGGTGCCGCAGATGCCTTGGTGCACTTGTGCCGTGTCTGCAAGTCACAATATATGTAGCTTGGTGGCTGAGAGGCCAGGGGACAGCTCTTCAGGTGGACTACAGACACTCCCATCCAGCAGCCTCTGTCAGAACATGCAGTTTAGTAACTAAGATAGAGAGCCAACACTCGTGAACATAAGGGGATAACTT